ATCCTGGTATTGAAGCGCAAAGCAGATAATCTCACTCACACTACTTCAGTCATTTTCTTCTCATGTGGCTGACTGGAATAAAACTGCTAAAATACTGTTTCCCTCATGCAGAAAAAGATCTAGGGGATATAATAGATCACAAGCTGATTAGGAGTCAACAGTGTCAAGCCATTGTGACAAAGGCAAACACTGCACTAAGCTGTGCAAACAGGAGTATGGCTTGCAAGACACGGGAGGTAATCCTGCTCTGCCGGCGCTGGACCGGGTCTGGCGCTGGGGCTCGTTCTCCAGCAGAGATGCAAAGTGCCCACAGAGCATCCAGAAGAAAGCCAGGAGAATAAACAGGTCTAAAACACAACCAGCGAGGAAGGACTGAACTGATCAGACGCACACAACCTAAACAAGAGAGTGGGATGGGAGAGAAGCGCAACAACGATTTGCAAATTCGTAAAATCATAAATTCCCAAAGGGAATTACTTGTTTTCTGTGTGCAGGAATAGCAGGTTTGGGATGGGATTTGCAAGCCTCCTGAGGCAAAGAAAGGGTTAACATAGGCATTAGCAAGAAAGCAGCTGAGAAGGCACACAGCTGCAGGGGATAAAGCCACTCGGGAGAGGGCTATCAGGGGACCCCTGAAGGAGGGGGCTGAGGAGTCTCTCAGGGCAGAGATATAGGGTGAAGGGGTGGTGGGCTGTGTCCTTTGTAAGAGATTCTACTCTTCTCTTTGGCAGGTTACTGGCCTCCTAGGTTGTATTTACTCAGTGTGTTTGATCGTGAAAAGAGTGCCTTTCTCTAGGCCTGCAAAAAGGCAGGGTGGGGTTTGTTATTGGTTTTTTGGGTTTGTTTGTTTTTTAATACCCCAGCAAAACTTTTTACATCTGGACTAAAATGCAAAGCACCGAATCAACTGAGGTAGGAGGAAAGCAGGATAATTTTTGCCTGAGGTAAAATATTAAGTTACTGTTACTAGCAGAGGATTCAAACTGAGGAACTGTACCTTGGGAGCTGAAGATTTTATTCTGTGGAGGGAGAGAGAGAGAGAGCAAGAAGCATCTCTACAAAAGGGAAAAATTATGCAACAGGCTCAGGCTCAACAGCTCTGATACTGGGGAGGTGACAGGTGTCTGGATCTTTTTGCCAGAGGGAAAAGATCTCACCCTGCCAAATTTTAGGGGAATTGGAAATCACAGCAAGATCTAAACTGGATATTAAGAAATTCTTTCTATGGGCAAAGATAGCAAGGACTGCAATTAATTGGCTGAGGATGTTATGAAGCCTCATGGGCTACAAGGTGTTTGTCAGGGATGATGTCAGGTGTTTGTCCCTTGATCCTGTCTCAGGATGGCAGGACTAGGTGAGCTTCTCATGTCCCCCTCTGCCCTATAGTACTATAATGACAGATATTGTCCCCCCTCTTCTCTTGCCACTCAACTGTGACATTTTATGAAAATAATGTAGCATTTTTGGAAGCTCAAAGCATTTTTTGAATAGAAGTGGTTTCAGACTAGCTCAAAGCTGAATATTTTGCCTACTCTGTTGAATGATCCTTTCAACATGGTGTGTTTAGGAAATACTTCAGTACTGAAGCTTGTAAATTCAGCAATAGATGTGTTAAAAGAAAACTGTGTATTCACTCATTCTGTCTTTCCAATAAAGATACAACTAATTTAAGTTGCCCACGTGCTCTACAACACCAACTAGCAGATCTGTTTGCAAGAATACTGTTTTACCACCTCAGTTAGGGCTTGAGCTTTTAAAAAACAAACTAAACCCAAGATGCCTTGGCCTCAATAACCCCAATGATGTTCTACACAAGCAGTTCTGCTTTTTCTTTTAAACTCCCAGTGAAATTAGTTGAGATCTGCCCTCACAAGTCAATAGGTCCAAGCTGCTCATACCGTGAGTCTGTGTAATTTTAGAAATGTCAGTTAAATGTAAAGAAAGGAAAACAACCTTCTAGATACTGTGTTTTTCCATCAGGATGAGGAAAATTTCTATCTGATAGATAAAGCCTCCAGAATTTGAAAGCTTTAGGTTCACAGTAATAATCCTCAAGAGACTGATTTGTCAGAAATAAAAGCTAAAAATCAGTTTGATGAGAAATGTCTTTGAGTCTGTAATGCTTTCAGCTGTTTTGTGAGCTGTTCCTCCCCACCACTCTGTAAAAGCTTTAAAGTAGAGCAACTGGAAGTACAACTAGGACCAAACCACTGCTTGTTTCTGAGTGAGTTTGTCACAACAGCATTGGGAGATCTCTTTCCATTCTGACCCACGTGAAAGAGGAATGGGCACTGAAACAACCGACTGCATTTTGGAAACTGTTTAGTTGCCCAAGAACACACAAATGCTTGGTGGAATTTCAAAAGCCAGTAGGTAAGGGCTCTCACAATGGGCATTAGCTGCCTAGGTTGCCCTGAAAATCCCATGGAACAGGTTCCACATGCTCGTGGACCTTTAAAAGTCTGTCCAAACCCATCTCAAATGAAATCACATTCTAAGCAGAAGTTTGTATTTAATTACCTTCTGTAGTCAGCTCCAGAATATAACTCAGAAAACATTTCTGGTGGGTTTGTTTGGGTCTGTATTTTCCTCGGGGAACAGCTTTGCTCTGCATTTTGCTTCGCATAATGAGGCACTGTCCCTGACTGGGACTTTTGTTTGCTTTAGGGTGAGTAAAGCAATACTCTTCTACACTTTCTTAGATAAAGCAAGGCACGCAGGCAACATAAAAGTGCCAGCAGCCTTTGTCGCCAGGAACAGAAATGATCATATTTAAGAGCGCTGTTCACAGAGAGATTAAACTCAGGCTGGCTGGCGAGAAGCTGTGTAGATAATTTGAAATAGATTCCGAGGGTGAATTACTGCCTGGCTGTCCCGCTCACCTCCTCAGTTCTCGGATGTGCGTGCCAACCAACATTTTAAGATAACTCTGCCCTGTTTGCTCCTTGAATTGTCTGGCTGTTTAACAGGCTCTTCAGATAAACAAGGGATAATCTCAGGATTTTGCTCAACAAAGATTGCTTTGTGTAAAATTTAAAAATTCTGAATAGGTTGTTGTACGGGGCCCGGTCCTGCGATCCTTTTTAGCTGCGAATACTTTCAAGGGAGTAAGTGGTTGCACAGTCATAGTTTCAGTAAGTGAATTATTGATAATATCTTCCAGTATATATCAAAATACCTTCCAGTATCTGAAGGGGCCTACAGGGAAGCCAGAGAGGGACTCTTAGTCAGGAACTGCAGCCACAGGACAAGGAGTAAAGGGTACAAATTGAAAGAGGGGAAATTTAGGTTAGATATTAGGAAGACATTTTTTACTGTGAGGGTGGTGAGACACTGAAACAGGTTGCCCAAGGAAGTTCTGGATGCCTCATCCCTGGCAGTGATGAGGGGTCTGGAGCATCTCTCTGATGAGGAGAGACTGCAGGAGCTGGGCCTGGTTAGTCTGGAGAAGAGAAGACTGAGAGGGGATCTCATAAATGCATATAAACCTCTCCAAGGTGGGTGTCAGGGGATGGTGCCAGACTCTTGTCAGTGGTGCCCAGTTACAGAACAAGGAGCAATGGCCATAAACTAAGACATAAAAAGTTCCACCTCAACATAAGGACAAACCTCTTCCCATGGAGGTGGCAGAGCCCTGGAACAGCTGCCCAGGGAGGGTGTGGAGTCTCCCTCTCTGGACACATTCCAACCCCACCTGGACGTGTTCCTGTGTCACCTGCTCCAGGTGACCCTGCCTGGGCAGGGGGATGGACTGGGGGATCCCCAGAGGTCCCTCCCAACCCTAAATATTCTGTGATTCTATGATGGATAATGCCTCAAGCAACCTGGTCAGGTGGGAGGTGGCTCTGCCCATGGGTGGAACTAACTGAATGAACGTTAAGGTTCCATTCCAACCCCTAAACATTCTATAATTCCATCATTCTATGATAATGACATCATTACCACTGACAACTTTCCCTTTTTTAAGGGTAATTAAAAAATAAAGGAAAAAAAAAAGCACAGAACACAGTAGTTCAAGACCAAGGAAGGCACAAACCGGGAAGATAAAAGTAAAAAAAAAAGTGTAATCAGCAAACAGGACGGCGGGCAGCATTTATTGAGGAGTAAATAAATACGGTAAATAATATAAACGGCAGCATTTATTGAGGAATAAATAAACATCATAAATAATATAAATGGCAGCATTTATGGAGGAATAAATAAATACAATAAATAATATAAAGCTATAATAAATAAATAAGTTCATAAATAAGATATGGAGCTCCACAGCCAGGCACTTTAAAGCCTGGGGCAGAGCAGCCTCGGGCCAGGCATCCATTCCAAGGCCAAGGGTCCCTTCCAAGGCCAAGGGTCCCTTCCCAAGCCAAGGCTCCCTTCCAAGGCCCAGAGTCCCTTCCAGGGCAAAGGGTCCCTTCCAGAGCCAAGTGTCCCTTGCAAAGCCAAGGGTCTCTTCCAAGGCCAAAGGTCCCTTTCAAGGCCAAAGGTCTCTTCCCAAGTCAAGGGTTCCTTCCAAGGCCAAGGGTCCCTTCCAAAGCCCAGGGTCCCTTCCCAAGCCAAGGGTCCGTTCCCAAGCCAAGGGTCCCTTCCAAAGTCAAAGGTCCCTTTCAAGGCCAAGGGTCCCTTCCAAAGTCAAAGGTCCCTTCCAAAGCTCAGGGTCCCTTCCAAAGTCAAAGGTCCCTTCCAAGGCCAAAAGTCCCTTCCCAAGCCAAGGGTCCCTTCCAAAGCTCAGGGTCCCTTCCAAGCCAAGAGTCCCTTCCAGGCCAAGGGTCCCTTCCAAAGCCAAGGGTCCCTTCCAAGGCCCAGGGTCTCTTCCAAGGCCAAGGGTCCCTACCAAAGCCAAAGGTCCCTTCAAAACCTCAGGATCCCTTCCCAAGCCCAGGGTCCCTTCCCAAGCCCAGTGTCCCGTTCCGGGCCGGGGCTCTCCCCGGGCCCTCCCGGCCGCGGGCGGCGCTGTCACTTCCGGCCGCTCCCGGCCCGTCTCTGTGGTTGTTCCTCCTCCTCGGTCCCGGGAGCGATGGCGGGGCCGGGCCCGGGGGGGACCCCCAAGCCCCCCGTGCAGGTGGTACGTGAGGGCCGGGGGCGGTGGGGCAGGGCCGGGGATCCCCGGGTGAGGGGGTGAGGGGGTGAGGGCGGGCCGGGGCTCCCCCCGGTCGGGGTCTGCGGCACCGCAGGTGGGGCACGGGGATGGGAGAGAGAGTGGGGAAATATTCCTGCAACGCTTCCTGCTTTGGTTATTCACCGCAACAAAATATTTTTATATATATATTAAATATATAAATTATATGTAAATATATATTACATATAAAAATATAAATATATAAATATCTATAACTATATCACATATCTCTATATATGTCTATCTCTTCTCTATCTCTCTATATAACAATATATAAATATATATACAAATACATATATAACTATACAATATTGATTATTAAAGGGTATTACGAATTTTTTTTTAAAGTGCTGAACACAGCGTTTTGGATCAGGTGCAGGCTGGAGAGTTGCAAGTAAAAAATGTGGTTAGAGGACAGGTGGGAAAGTATGTTATTGATATATAATACTTCTAGATGTATGTTAAAATATATGTTTGTATAGATATATATCTACCTATAATATATGTATATATCTATCTATGTTAGAGTTATTTATCTATATAGAGATATCTATATATAGAGATATCTGTCTATATAGAAATCTATATATCTATATATAATATACATATCTATATATAATATATAGATATATCCATATAGAGATATCTATCTATATGTAATATATGTAAATATAAATACCTATATGTATATCTCTATGTCTCTTTATATCTACATGTATCCATATATAATAAAGATATATATAAAGATTAATTTTGCTGTTACATTTATTAAATTTATACCTATCTGTAGACAGTATATAATAAAGATATATATAAAGATTAGTTTTGCTGTTAAATTTATTAAATTTATACATATCTGTAGAAATTATATAATAAAGATATATAAAAGCATTTGTTTTGTTATTACATTTATTAAAATTATCTGTCAAAATTATATATAATATAAAAATTTATATAGAAGTAAAGCATACACAAGCATATGTCTATTACATCTATTAAATTTATACACACACAGGTGATGGAGTTTGGCAACAATGTAAGGTTAGTCTGGCAAATGCCTGAAAAATAATAACATACAAATCAACGGGCAAGTAAAAATGATGAACAACATCACAGAGTCTCAGATCCTAAAGGCAGGTCAAAGTCTGTGGCTTGAAAATCTCTCTGGGTTAATTTAAGTTAATTTAATTTAAAGTATCCCCTATATGAGGTTTGACAAAGCTGGTGTGTTTCCACCAACAGCCCTGAGTTTGGAAATAGTTTGGAATAATGGCTCGTAGGAAAACTTCATTGAAAAACAGCAGTTACGACTTGTATACATTTTCAGCAGGGTTAAAATGCTTTTCCAAAGTTCTTTTCCACACTGAGATACGGGGGCAGGTAGGAGCCTGCTTGAACTGAAATTGGTGGAAACTCAAAGTTTTCCCTTTGGAGTTGTTTGTCATCCAGATTCTTGGAGGGTGATGGTGGTGAGACCGAAAACATCACAATACATTCAGCTGCACAGTTTCTGACAACTTTATTTTTATTCAAAACCTCACCTTCTCCTCTTCGGTTTTGTGACTGATGTTTTGTTTTTCAGTGGTCTAGCTGAGGGAGGGGAGGGAGTTTTTGGGTTCAGTGATACATCTGTGGACGAAGGGGGATTGAAACACTTGTTACCCATTTCGCACTGGGTCATTTTTGCCATGCAAAATTCACTTTGCAGCGAAGCCAAGAATTGTTCTTCAGCTCAGTGATAGCAAAACTACATGGCTAAAAATAGCCAAAATCACTTCAGATCTCACTCTAGAAGTTCAGGGAAACCCAGGCAGTGTCACAATGCTCAAATCCAGGTTTGATTCACAGCTCTGTGTTTTAAGAGTCACACTTGGCTCATAGGCCATGAAACTCCTCCTCTGTTGATGCTGCTGTAAATCAGTCCCAGCTAATGAAATGGTCATTCTGACTCAGTCACCACTCAGATGATCTTATATCGATAGAAACACGTTAGTTGTTTGCAATTTATGTCCCAAATACTCAAAATTAATTTGAGAGCTTTACACGTATTTCTGTAGTTCACTATTATGGTAACAGTCTTCATATTTATGAAAAGAGAACTGGAATAAATTACCTGAGCTGGAATTGGGAATGCTGGCATAAGCTGCAGCAAAAGGACACTGGGAAAACTGTATTCCCTTATCCCTGCTTCCTTTATGATTTCCTTAGCAAGGTTTGTATTTCTCCCTGGAGACGGGATTTGTCAGCAGTGATAGAAGTGTAGTTGATCTTGTTTTGGGACAGAAGAAGCAGACACAGTTTCTTGAAGTTACTACCAGCTGGTATTTTTGCCATGAGAATGCAAAGTAAGTGAAATAGTGCCCTGGTTCATGTTTTTCCCTCTTTAAATGATCCAGGGAGGTTGAAGTGTTGTGACACAGGAAAATAAAGGCCAATTTACGACTGCCCAGTTCAGCACAGGTGCCAACTGCAACACTTAAGCCAGAGTGCAAATGTAGTAATGGACTAGGGAGAAATGAAAGTTTAGATTTTTGATTCATCTCTGCCTTAAAATAAAAGTATATACAGAAAACCAGTAAGCTGAGCAAGAATGGTGGAACCTGAGGAAACTCCAGTGTACAACATCAGCAGTGCTCTGGTACATTAATCATATCTCTGAGTGCAGTTATTTGTGTGGATTTGTTGTTTTTTCAGGTTTTACACAGAGGTGTCATCAGCAGTTCAGCTCTGTACCTTAGTTTGGCAGCTCTGCATGGTGGGCACAGTTCTGTGGAAGAAGAATTTGCTCTCAGTAATGTGCTCAGGAGCATAGTAATGTATTATGTGTTATGTCGAGTTCAGAGCACCTCAGTGCCAGCAGGTGTTTATGGGTGTTTTATATGTGCTGTATATAAGTACTGGGTTTTTCTGCTTTCAGTTTGAACTGAACAGGGAGTCAAACATCACCTTGCTATTTTGCACTGCTGTTCTGACTTAAAACAGGAGTTCACTATGGAAAAAAAGCAAAGAAGTTCCAGTTCTCAAGCCAACGGCAAGCTCATTTGTGATGGTGTAGTCAAATTTTTACTGAGTGAATCAGAAAACAAAAAATAACTGATTTTTCCGGATGTACAAAATAGTAGCAAATTTATGTTGTCATTGAAAGAGTTGTGGAGCCCTTTTTTCCTGAATAAGTGTGTTAGATTCATTAATGTGTGTACCTTATTCATGAATGCGTAAGGTCGTATTTTAATTGCCATCTTGACACAAAGGATATTAAAATCCTGAGTAAATTGAATATTAGTTTAGAATCTCAGATTTGTGGCTATTTTGTAGTCTCAAAGTACTAATCAGAGACAGTTCTGAAATAACCTTTTTTGTCTGTGTGTTGTAATTGTTGGGTAATCAATTTCTCTTTTTTTTTGTTTCTCCTTATTTTATTTATTTACCTCTCCAAAACACAAGTCAAAGGCCTGCTTTGCTTAAAATTTTAGAAAGTTTTCCTTCTACTTCTTTTAACTAGCCCTTTCACCTGCTACATCATCCTGCCAAAGATCAGGAGGTTCATTCTTTTTAGACAGGTTTACTATTTTATTTGGCGGTGAAATATTGTTAATTATTGTCCCATACATCCTGCTCTGTCCTACCTGTGCTCCTCAGTGTTTAAAAATCTGCCTACTAATATATTCATCTGTGTGTATCCACACGATTTACATGTGCTCACATGGCACTAAATCGTGAATAATTCAATTTCAGGATCCCTCCAGTATTTTGTTTCCTGAGGTTCTCGCCTGCTCACAATAGGGACTAATCCTCTCTTTCTTCCAACCATGTGTTTATGGTTACCCCACACAATAAGGAGTTTAAGTTCTGTTTCTAGGGGCTTCTTGAAATGTCCCCTGAGACTTTTTATGAGTTACTTAGGCCCTTAAGTTCCTCATCTATCAGCAATTTTAACAGGTACAGGCTTGGGCTCTCCCTTTACAAACATAGCCAGTGTATTACTGGGCTAATTCCTCAGCACTTGGAATGCTGTGAAAGGAATATGTTCTTTTTTTTTTTTTCTTTTCCAGAATTTTGGGGGTTGTTGGCTTTTTGGGGATAATTAGAACGGTGGGGAGTAACTGAACAGAGAAACCCCTCGTCTCTGATTTCTAACCAACTTTAAAATGTCTCAGATAGGTTTTCCTGTTTTGTCCTGCACGTCTGAACCAAGAGGCTGTAAGAGGAAAAGCTGCAGTTGGGATGGCAGAGTATGGGACTACATCATACAGCAACTTCTGATGTGCTTGAGAGCACTTGTAGATTGAATAATTTTTAGAAACTTGGCTAGAACCCAAAGGTCCAGACTGCATATTTGAACATCTCCAATTAGGTAGTGTGTTTAAAGAAAAATTAAAGAATAATATATATATATGGAAGACAGAAGTAAAGAGTGTCTTAAGAAATGCAGGAAAACCATGAATAGGTTAGGATGGTGTTACTGATGGCTTTTTTCAGTGGATTTGGTTCAGTGGCCTCTCTTGTTTCATTGGACTTCTGCCAAAAGCATCTTGTAGAACTTTTAATTTTTGAAAAAACTTCGATAGAGCAAAAAGCAAATCATATATTTATAATGAAAATAAAGGTTCTTTGCCTGCGTGTTTTTAAGATGAGGTTTTTTGGTGAAAGTTAGTTTCAGAAGGATCTGGCACTTCCCCTTTTTAATAAATGTTCTTATACTGTAAGTAAACAAAAATAGTGCTTACTGACATGCACGTGGATTTTTGTTTGGTTTTTTTTGTAGTCTGTCATTGTGCCTGTTCACAACAGTGAATGCTGGTTAGATGAATGCCTAAAGTCGGTTTGGGAACAAGATTTTGAAGGAACCCTGGAGCTGTCAATTTTTAATGATGCCAGTAAGGTATGTTTCAGACCTTCCTTAAAATAGTGTCCAAGAAAATACTGTCTCTGACAGGAATTTTTGGTTTAGTTCACCATGCAAACTGAAATAGCTGCATCTATGCCATTATTTTTTCTAGGATGGGTCAGCTGAAATAATTGAAAAATGGAAGATGAAGTTGGAAGAAGTTGGTATTCCAGTAATCATTGGGAGTAATGATTCATCTGAACCTCGAGGTGGTATGTAGCTTAATAGAGATTTTGTAAGAATTAGACTTTTATCGCAGGCACTTTCTGGGTTTTAGTTTGAGAAGTGTCTTTGTAGCCATTTGCATTGCAATGGAAAAAAGCCACGTTGCTTTCCAGAGCTCTCCCTTCAAAAACTCATTCCAATTTAGAACTTGGCCCTGTTGGTTTGGGATGTGTAGAATTTGTTTATATGTCCAGGAAAGAAGAACTTGGCTTAGCACTTGTGCTCTACTCTGCAAAAGAATTTTGTTTAATTGTAGTGTACACAATGTTGTTAATGCTTACAGTTTTACTGTGGCTTTCTGATATCTGATTTGTCTTCAGGAGATGGATTTTAAGAAAAAAGAAATGTAAGATTTTGTACATGAAGATTTAAAAAGTGTATGCATTTCTTTCAGTCTTGTAAAATAGGCCTTGAAATAGAAAAAAAAAAATACATTTTTGATCCCTTTGATGATCAAATATAAACAGAGGTTTCAGAATAGTTTTGATTGAGCTAAAAGCTCTCACTGAACTCCTAAGTATTCACTCAGGGGGCTAACCCAGTGTGTTTACTGAGCTGCCAGATACGTGTATGATGTGATTCCCTGTTGATTTACATGCTCATGTGAATCACATTTACCCACTGCAGGAGATTACAAACAAATCTCTGCAAGAGATTTTCTTCTGCTTAATTTGGTTGGTTTATCTTTAGGGTTTTTTAGCACAAAAGCTTCCTAAAACGTAAAATAGAAATACAAGCCCGTTGCTCTTTGAAGAAGCTGCTGTTGAGTGACATTGAAGTTGGAAGATCATGTCTGTGGAGGAGAAAAGCAGGAACAGTGTGCTCACATTTTGTGGGGGAGCTGTGGAACTAATGTTTCTGTCATTCTGGACTTTGTTGTAATGAGTAGACAGGTAGGAATTGTTATAAAACTGGTCCCAATTTGTGTCTGTCCAGTTATCTCGCTTAGAAGTCACACTTTGGAAACACTGTAATACCAAAAGCTGGACAGTTTCTGCTTTTTAACTAAATGCCCTTTTTGTAAGTGGAAAGAAACCAAAGTTTATTAGAGTCTCTTCAAAATGATCCTCCTATGCAAAAGCCCAGTTCTGTTTCAGGAGGTTTAATTTTCATCCCCTGTTGAAACATGCAAATAAATTGGGAGTTTGGGCACTGAATTAATCTACAACCTGGTATAGGCCCTGGGCTTTATTTACTGTCATTTATCTGACTGTAGACTTTACAGCTGGTTTTAAACAGTTGTCAGACCCAGCAATACTGAAGTAACACAGCATGACTGTTACTATAAATATTTTTAGTATTTTAGTATCTCTAGCATGAGCTGGTGTTGTTTTGACAGTGCAGCTTGCAATATTAGCATTATTGGGCTGGTGATGAGAAAAGGCAGACAGGGTTTGTAGAGGGAATTTTTCTCTTTTGGGCCACTGATACAGCTGGAATTGAGCAATGTCAAGAATTACCTGTATTCCTGGAAATTTGTCTTCTTTTTTTCCCTCCCTCCACTGGGGGTGATCAGTCTCCTTTCAAATCTCACTTCTCTTAGTAGCTGGTGATTTAGAAGCTAAGAAGGTTGCAATTTCTCAAAGCAAAGAATAATCCCAGAGGTTGTTAATTATGATACTTGGTTGGTTAGTAATGTTTTTGTTAATACTATCGTGTTGTGTAACATCTTTTCCATTTTTATAAACATTTTCTATGTCTAAAGTCTTGTTACTTATAGAGTGCTGTATCAATTGTGTATAAACTAGTTTTTAGTTTGCCAGAACACACAGGCACAATGCTCTGATAATAACTTATGTTAGAATTCTGACTTCAGTTCACCTTTGCACTTCAGGAAACTGAACCTAAAAATGAGTTCCTGTTGTGAATTCCAAGTACATTGTGCCATTAGGGATATGTCAGGTTATATTTTGGCTTAACATGCATTTCTCAGCCTTGGTGTAGCTGCAACCTGAGCAGATCTTTAATTAATTGGGGATGGGGGATGCAGCTGTGAGCATTGTTTTAAATACCAGTATGAAATGCATAGTTGTGCTGAAAAAAACAAAGCTCATTCATATGGAAGTCACTCTCAGGCCACCATTAAAACAAAGACATCTTTCCTTCACAGTTGTTACATTTTAGGAGCAGGTTACTTGAAATCCACAGTATTTGTTTGCTTTCAGTGATTTACTTTTATTATGTTAAGGACTAGGTACAACTGTAAGGAGTCTTGCCTTTAAAAGAAGATGCTTTGGTACAGAAACAATGTCCTAGTCAGGCTTCACATCTTCAACTATTTACACAAGATTAGGATTTATTTCTGATTCTTTTCTAACATGTAAAAGAAAGGGGGGGGGGGACCTAGAAAAAAAGAAAGGGTCACTTGCCTAAAAAAAGGAAACCTTTTTCTTTCCAAGAGTGAGGAATGTTAATATCTCACTGAGGCTTAAGTTTTTACGGCTGTAACCATGGTAACAGGCTCTTTTCACCAAGTAAGCAGGCCTTACAAAACTCAGAGACCTGGCACAAACATTTCATTTTGTTCAGTAGAGTAATATTAAAGATATTTTTTTTACTCATGCCAAACATAGAATTTGTTGTGGCGAAGCAATTTTTAATACCTTGTTTCTTCTATGGGGATTTATATCTCCCTTATTAATAATTCAAGAAATATGTGTATTTTCTTCTCTCCTCTCTAAAAAATAGCTGGAAAGCTTCAGGATGGTTCTGTCTTAATCTAAGAAAGAAATATTTTCCACCTCTCTCTCATAACAAATACTAGATATTTCATTATTTTATTTCAAGTGGTTTATTTGAAAATAACATCTGAAATATTTCAGGAAGTTCATAGAGTAAGATAGTTATCATGTAAAAAATCGTCATCTTGTAGTTGCTTTTGAGTCTCCTTCACTTTTTTCCTTCAGTTTTGGTTCTTTATCCTTCATTATTATCAGCTGAAGGTGGTTAAAATATTGGGCTATGGCAATGAAATTAATTGAAATGTAAGTACAGGCTGTTTTACACTTGGTAATTGCTGTAAAGTATGAACTGTGTGATGGTGCTGATTTGTTTGATGTTGGGCAAATTTTAATTCTGTCCTGTTTTTCTGTCCTGCTCTTTTACCTCTTGCTTTAGTAGGGACCTCCTCAGCATTGGGGTTTTGCTGGCTTGGCATGTCCAGACCTGCTGAGCTGCAATCAGTTGTTTCCCACTAAAACTGCTCGTGCCAGGATTCAGCTCTGCTGTTGGGGCAGCTCCTGTCTTTGCCAGCTGCTTTTTCGCTGCCAATAGGAAGGAGACTGAGAGTCACTGTATATGTGAGATTAGATATTCATATGTGTATGAAAGGTAGTGTGTAATTAAACTGTAAGATCATAAGTCCAAGAAATCCACGATGAAGAGACATTAAGGTGAGGATTAAAGTACATAAGAGTAACAGAGTTATAAGGAAGAGACTTTATTAGTAGTGTTCTGGTGGTAGTTGACATAATGTTCCTTGGAGGCAGCAAGAAATGCAGTCATAAGTCTTTTTCTGTGCTTGGACAACTCAGCAAAATAGCCAAGGAGCACGTGCATTGCAGCTCAGGGAACCTTTGAGCCCAGTTAAGTTTATTCCCTGAGCCAACTTAAACTCTATCACATAAAAAGAGTAGAGAATTAGAGAAGTCTGCATTTTTCAAATGCAAAATCTGAAACTTTGGGGATAATGTTAGTTAAAATTATTCTCCTCTGCTTCATGGCGGGATTTTTTGGCTTTACATTTCCAGTTTTCCCAAATTAAGAATAAAACTCCCACATTGTATTGTGTATCTTCACATGATTTGGTTTGCAAGTCAGGGCACTCTTTTGCTGGATTCCCTGACTTGGTTCCATAAATACTTCAAAGCTGAAGTGTTACATATGTGACCAAGTGGAACCCATATAGAATTTTCCAGAATGATGCTGGATACAGTGTGGTCTTTTCATATAATGCTGCCCAGGAGAAGAATTCAGAATGTTCTTAGGTAGACCTTGTCTACCAGCAGAAATTATCCCAGGTAATCTCTCCTGCCTTGCAGATGTATTTGATGTTATGGTATAAATTAGCTTTGTGCTCCTTGTGTATATCTAATCAGTCCTGCTTTGGCTCCCCTCTGCATTACAAAGGGCACTTAAAGTTTTTGTGTTTGCAAACTTTATATTTAACAAGCATCACAGAACAGAACTTAATTTTTGAGTCCTTCCGAGGACCTGTCCCCCTGATGGGAAGAACAGCAGTTTCTGGATCTTTCTCTGCCTCTTTTATGATTTGTTGGTATTTGTTATGACTTTAAAGGTGAATGTTTATACAGCCAAGGGTTTTCAGCACCTGCTCTTTGCAGGGGATGGAACTAAGTTCCTTCCAACCCAAATCATTCTGGGATTCCATGACCTGATGTTCTGGATGTGAAACCTAAACAGCTGGACTTCTCAAGACATGTATTACACATTATATCTTTATGGAGGGCCAGCAAAAGTATTCTAATTCTGCTTGATGGTAGGATGCTGATAGTCACTCAGAGAAGAAGACTGAAGTAGGCATCCTATTCAAATATTTACAAATTACCTTGTTTTAAATATGGAAAAATTGTGGACTTTCTGTGATACCGATTCTCGTATTTTCTTTCATCTGTTCCTGACAGTAGTAAGATTTAAAAAAATACAATGGTAAAAACTACCCCATAAATTTACCTTTGTTTTCTCAACAGTTGGATTTGCTAAAAATCAAGCAGTAATTCAGAGCTCAGGAGCCTATCTCTGCTTTCTGGATTCAGTAAGTTAACTCATTTTGTCTAACTTGGTTTTGTTGGTATAATTTTATTGGTTTTAGCGTAGTTGTTAATTGTTTGACAAGCTGTTTAAAGGTGTTTGGGTGTTAAATGTGCTGGTTACTATTTATAGCTCCAAAGTTATCTTCCAACCTGTAGAAAGCCTCACACCATTCTTTGATTATATCAGATTCCACAGGCTGGTGTGAGCAGGGCTGGACCAGGTTGGTATTTAGGTGTTTTCAGGATTTTTCTTTTCCACATTCTACAGAAAATTGTATTGAAACTAAGAGCTAATCTGTGGCTTTTTGATGCAAAGCAGGAGAGGTCTCACCTTCCATCTTGAATTTTTTTTCCCAGTCCTTTGTGGGATACCTTCTGTGGAGCCATTCAGCTCAAAAACCCAGAGATAAGGATCGGGCTTGATGTGTTAAAATTCTGTGAATTATTCAGTATACTGTTGCAGGACGTGGTTAAGAGGTACTATTCTGCTGACCCAAGGAAATGCAACTGAAATATCTTGTACCATATGAAAAATTACATTTTGCAGGTGGCTTTCTTGGCCTTTATTCTTGCTTTTGTTAAGTTATTACTGTGCTCAGTGTGCCTTGTAAAATGTGTTTATTTGAATTTGTCCTCATTTAATAGTTTGTTGGTTGGAGTGTGTGTGTGTGTTTGTTTGTTTTACAGAGTGTATTTCATGTAAATTTTTGTATATAAGTTTATGGAAGGTGAAGTTACTGGGGTTTGAAAAGGTCGCTTTCACAGACACCAAAAAGTAAATATTTCCTCTCCAGCACTGAGCATCAGCGTCCATTTCATAAACAAAGTGTGCTGAGGAAAGAGGAACACAAAAGCCACTGATGTGATTTTGGTCACCTGACTGGGCAGGTCATGGAAGAGTGGAGGGACCTCATAAATTATGCCAGGAAGTAATTGGAGTGATGCCAGTTGTGCTGGGGTGGATGAACTCAGGATCAAGTTCTTTTTGCTTTACTTGGGCAGACACAAAGCCAAGTGTCATTTTGTCTATACAAATGATTTAACTCTCCTGTGTTTGGAGTCAGTGAGGCTGTTTATATATCTAAAATGAAAAAAACCCCAGATCTTATGATTTCCAAAGCTCAGGTATTCCAGGCTTGGACAGACCCCACATTGCAGGGGGCATTCCAGGCAGTCTGTATGAGTTACATATGTACTTATGTTGACTGAAATTAATTGAGTCCACATGTACATGAATGAGAAATTAGTCTACCATTGTCCCATGGAGCTTCATATCTTCTATCTCAAAATAATCTACTGAGGCAAATTATAGGTTAGTCTTTCTTTTCAATCCAGACAGGTCTAATTGTTTGTAAATCACAAGCAACAAGCTAGAGAATTAAATTCTCTAAATGAAATTAATTCATATTTTTACAGTGATATCTTCAGAATTCTACATTTGTTATTTACCAAGTGGTGTACATCTTCATGCTGCTGTGTTGTTTCTGTTTGCTGGCTAACTATGCAGGAAAACAAAACATCAGGGAAACAAATTACAACTACTAAGGAATGTAATAAGGAATAATAATTTTGTATTTCTGCAATATTATCATTAGCATAAACTTATATTTAATATCATTAAGATCTACTTGAGGTGAGTTGAGAATTTTATGACTTACAGTGTGGATAAGCTTGGGAGGAGTTACAAAGATTTTCTGTTCTGTGCACTTTTATTTCTGCTTCAAAACAGAGGCATTCTGAACTATCAGAAGCTTAATCTCGATGCAAAAGAAATATCAAAATTAATGAATAATTTGCATTAATTAAATGCATTTTCTGCTGTCTGTCCCTGTGACTAGCATTCTTTTTGCTGAAAACAGATCGGAGGAAATAAAATGACTGTGGAAACTGCTCCAAGTCTAAAAATTGCTCAATGTTTTGGCTGTAGCTGGTCAATGTTGTGTGATAAATGCTGAAACACAGATGTTGCCAGCTGTTTAACAACTCGGCTTCCACACACCACCTACCTTCTTCATTGCACTCACCAATCCAGTATCCAGCTCTCTAGGAAGGAATGCTGATATCAGCCCTCTGGAATGTGCTGCAGCAGGGCCAGGGAACTGACCTTCAGAAGTGCAGCCACAGCTTCAGGTTTGCTGTAGGTGGATGTGGAGAGAAAACGGGGCTGGGAATGGGGATTTTGCATAAAGGTGGAGAAATACACGGTGGCTCTTTGTGCATTACTCTGTCTTCTCAGAGTAAAAGGATGTAGGAACATATGTGGGAGCATCTTTGGAAGTACTGGCTCCAGAGAGACTGTTTTGCTTGCCATTCCAGCTGGAGTCAAGCTGCTTGTGTTATGTCTCTCAACACAGATTTGTGAGGACAACAAACTGGGAAGAAATGTGGAAAAAAAAGGTTGCAGAGCTCAGAACTGTCAGAATTTGATCAGCCCATTCTAGTATGAAGTGGCAGCTGTTTGACTAACAGCCATTGTGCAGTTTTTTTGCCATGGTTGTTCTTACAGATTTCACCTCTAAGCTACTGAGGCATTTTTTTCCCTGCTGGGAAAACAAGTAGAAAAATTGAAGATACTTCACAAATTTTTCATATTTAACATTTATAGTATCAGGAAATGAGATCTAATTATGCAAAATATTTCAGTGTTAGCTTTACTCTCCTAAAACTGTCTGCAGTTATGACTTTATCTACCAGTTTCATTGTGCTGTAGCTGTAGTTTGTCAGTTCTCTGGGGTCATGCCATCTTTGTTACAAGCATTTCCCCAGTTGCAGCACAGCAGAACTCTAACACTGAAAATTCTGTTTGCTGCTTTGAACTGCTGTTTTCTTTGACATTCACTTAAACATGCCTGTACTTGTGTAAAACTGTACTTCTTTAAAAAGGAACAAGCTTTCATTTCATCTTAATCATCTGTGGAGTTTCCAATTCTTTCGGGTTTAATCAGTGTGTTGTTGGGGATTGTTAAAGGAGAAATATAAAAATGTGTCCTTTTTTGACCTGCAGTATTTCAAAGCCAGTCATATTCACTCGAGTCCTTGACACGCTTGTTTTAATCTTTTGAAAGGCTCTGTTGGCAGTGTATCACTATTCCAGAGATTCTCAGGCAGTTCAAAGATGTGACTCTAAACCGTGTCACCACTAAGAGCTGAAAATGCCACAGGGACACAGCTGAGTTTTGTTCACCAACAGTGAATCCAGGACCACTGGATTTGACATTCCCATGTTTAAGTGGCAGCTGCTGACCTGAGCCTTTCTGGTTGTGAGATTTGCTTGTGTGATTTAAGTTGGGAACGGTAATTTTTAAATTGCTGTGAAATTTCGTGTTCCTTGAGTTTCAAGTTCAAACCCAACTTCCTCGAGGGGCTGTTGATAAAGGTCTGGGAGGAAGGAGGTTGGACCTCAGCTAAATGTTTCAGCCTTCAAAATAGCATTCAGTTATAAACAGAGCTGCTTGGTTTTACTGTTTCCATAACCTGCTGGGTTTGAAAACATGGATTTCTTGTTAGTTGCCATTATATATATATAGTGCCTGTTATAAAATTATATATATATATATATATATAACAGGCACTAAGAAACTTTTGAAATATTCTCCCTTTCAAATTAACACCTGTATAGCTTAGGAAATGAAGCAGTGATCAGACTTCATGTGTGTGGTTTCTGTTGTTAACATGCCATTCCCTGAGAATTTTATCCTCTGATTTAAAAATAAAGTGAAATAAAGCTGTTACTCAAATAGCAGATAAGTGGATGTAGTGATGAACTCCATTACTAGAAGACCCTTTCTGTCCAGAAGAGTTGTCCATGTTTCTGAATCACTAATGAGCCCCAAAAAAATCAAACTAGAAGTGCTTGAAGGCATCTTTGCTTTTATTGTTCTGTAAAGATGTGCTTGTGCTAAAAACAGATTAAATGCCTTTATCTGCTATGTGCAATGTTAATTTTCTGTTTCCTAAATGAAGAAGCAAACCTTCTGGATTTGGTTGCCATAACATCTCTCTGTTTGGAGTGTTTGGAATTGACAGTGAGGATTTGACTCTTCTCTAAGTTTATTTTTTGCTTGGTTGCAAACACTCACACACTTTATTTTCAGTGGCCCAACTGTGAGAAAAATCAAAGGTGAACTCCAATAACCACAGAAAAGTGAGATATAAAAAGGCATTGTCTGCATTTATTGAACAAATGCACTGAGGTGGGAGCTACCTTGAAAATGTCCTGATCAACTAGTAGTGATGCTGAATTAAAACATTCCATAAAAATATGGTGAGGCTCATAGGAACACCAGTATATCTTCCATGTAGACCTGTTTGTTGCCATGCTCAAGAATAGAAAGGTGGTCAGTGCAGTCAGCTTCTTAAACTTTGAAGTGTTTTCTTTCTTGTCCCCTTCTTTCTCAGTTTAATTCAGGAGCAGAAACAGAAAAGTAGTATTTTTTTTCCTATGATTTTGCAAGTACTGACAGATCATTAGTCTCAGGTGACTCGTGGGTGCCATTAGAGTGCCTGATTTGATGAGTTTGATAGTGTGAGGCTGTTTTAAAAACCTGCCCCTGGAGAACTTTCGGGGAATCAGGGTATTTGCTTTGGTAGAGCTGCTGACAGGCCAAGCTTTGGAGGTCCCAGACCTTTCATTTCCCTGGTTCAAGGAGCTGAACTGAACAATAGCAAAGAAAGATTTTCACTATGGTCTGAGCAGGTGCAGCACAAATGAATGACCATTTGATGGATTGAAAGACTTTGGAGATGCCATATTGTTGCTCAGTGAGTGAAACATTCCTCCTGGTGCTTCTACTGGTTGTGTTTTACGTGTAATAACTGCAGCAGAAAGAAGGTGCTGTTATTATGGGGCTGGAGGGTATCAGGTCTCAATTTTATTTATTTTTTTTTGAGTAGCCAAACACGAAGGGAATTTGGAAAAGCCTGTGATGCTGAGTCTGTAATGTGAGCCTAAGAAAGCACTACAGTACTGAGCTACAATTAGTGTCTTATTTTTTATGAACTTGCCCTTGGGTGCCAAAAGTGTATTTTACATTGAGCTGTATATTTTGTTTTACTTTCTGAAGTTCAGAACCCCCCACTTTTAAGGGAAAACATGAAGTTATCACTGTGGAGCTCAGTGTGGTGCAGGCAGCCTGGTTGAAGAGGCCAGTGAATTCTTGTCATTTGAATTTATCCAAATTGATTTAAGAAACCCATCCTGAAACAGCAACAGCTTTGAGTAGCGTCCTTAAGCTCAGCCTATGGGTTTAGTTTTCCTTTTCTCCAGCTAAACATGTGAGTTAAGTGAAACAAAGCAATTAGCTCAGTGTAAATTGTGTGTGTTTTTATCAAGCCTGGTGCCCGAGGTTGGAAGGAGAACAGCCCAGCTGAGGGTGTGGAACTCGGCGGGAGCAGGGCAGGTCTGCAGAGGGTGAGTGGGATGGGACAGGAGCAGACAGGGCTGGGAGGTGCTGGGGGTCACGGCCCCACTGCCACAAACTCATCTGGGCTGCCCCTGAAACCTCGGCTTCCTTCTCCTGTGAAATAAACTCCTTTTCATTCCTCCTCTTTCAGCAAATTGTTCTCCTGCTCCTGTTCTCCTCCTGCAGAAGAAGCAGCATGTTTGGAATCACCAAAATTCCTATACATTCTGCATTATTTTGGGTGCCTGGAGAAGTTTCTATTTGTTGCTTTATTTCCTGCTGTGTACCTATTTGGACTTATTTGCATGGATGAACATATTTAGGTGACAGCAAACCCATCTATTACCTGAGACTTTTCTAAATTTTTCTGCTAAGTTTGTTGAGTGAGGTTACATGAGAAAAGATTTCTTTACAGATTCATTCTTGCTTAGCTACAGTATTGCTAGTATATGATTAGGGAAGGCTTGCATTTACCTAGCATTTATTTTAAACCTGTTATTTCCATTCTTTCATTCTCTCTTCATCCTGTCTGCTGTATATCTGCTAGGGGACAACCATTAGAAACTTCCATGTAAACAGAGAAAATTGAATTTCAGTAGAAACTTCTGTTAAACTTCTGTTTTTTAAAATTATATATTCAGTGTAACTCACTGCTGGCATTGTTATCTTCCCCACTCTCACCTAGGAGACAGAAACAAACTAAATAAACTTCCCTTTTTTGGCTACATTTGGATAGGCCCTTTTTTTTCTGTCTGACATGACAGGAGTGAAAAATAATTTTGAAAGTGTTTGTCTAATTACTGAGGTTTTGTTCTCAGTTTTAAACCAAAATAAGACGACCAAACTCTAATTGTAGAAACCAAAGTCTGGCAACGTGTTTTCTGAATTCAATATCATGAATACAACAAAACTGTATTTGTGATTGCATAATGTACAGCTGGATAAAATACTTTTAACTTCTCAATTGTCCAGTATTACAGCTGCTAAAATTCCATAAACTCTTATCACTACAGTGCATAGTTGGGCCTCTCACTCCTACCAGTGGCCTCTGAAGTTGAAAAAAAATTTAAAATGCTCTTGTTTTGTGGTACAATTGTTTTGGTTTTACTCATTAGACTTTAATTTGGTTTTTAAACACTGGTCTCAAATATATCCACGTTACTTAGGATGATTTCACTATAAATATATTGTTTTCCACTTTGGTCCAGTCATCAATAGTGAAGGATCTGTTGAAGTTGGATTTTGAAGCTGCCTTTCTGTCATAGTTGCCCAGCCTGAGTCCAAGAATGACTGATGTGCCTCAGTTTTGTCTGGGATGTGACTTGTATTTTTTGCTGTTCTTCCTCATTGCCTGATTCCTGTATTATTTTATTTCAGATTATGCCTTTAACTATTATATTCTTTTTTTCCCCCCTTCTTTCTTTCTCATTTCATGAACATGGAAGCAACACAGAACAATACATCAGTGCAGCAGATGTGTAAAGCTATTAATAAAAAAAAAAAAGACAAAATTATAAAAAAACCCAAAGGTCATTCAGGATAAGAGTTCATAGAGTTTTCCAACATTAGAGAACAAAGCTGTATTAATAAAAAGAGGCATTTTTGTGGTTCTAGTGCCCCCTCTTTAGCTGGAGTTTGCAGAACACTGATGCTCTCTGATAGCCTGAGACCCAGATCTGTGGATGTGTGTTTTGCCAATGGCACCAAAATGACACAGTTTTGTTAAGGGAACGAGGCCACTCCTGTCAAATTGTCCTCTGCTGAAAACATGACATTGAGCTGTTTGGGAATGGGATGTTTGAATTTGGTTTGAATACCTTCCAGGCTGATTTAACATTTTTAAATCAAGATTATTTTCCACCTCTGTGTATGAGTTCTGTTAAATTTCTCTCTGTTGTGAGGGATCATAAACAGTGGAATCTTTTAGCACATATTTTGTATCTTGTAAGAGATTATAGTAACAGTGTTATAAGCATTGAAATTCCATACTTTTTGGTAGATTTCTTTTTCATTCTCTCTTTTTTTCCACATTTAACAAGAAGACATATAAGAATCTTTAGCTACTTGTAAAGGAGTGAACAAGGCTCAGTTAAAAGTTATCTCCTATTGCTTATGTGCAAACCAGGTTTTAATTTACAAAAATCAGCTCTGTATTTGGCAATAGGATTGTGGTTCTTCTGGGAAATAGAGTAAAGGTTTTATTGGAACATTTGTACAGGATAAGTACAGGAATTCTGGTGCCTTATTGATAAAGTGGATTAAATGGTAAATAATTCTGTTGTAGTTTTGATGTAAGTCATGTACAGACGTTGAGAAATCAGAAGGGTTTTTTCATTCAAAATCAGTAACAGCTGTCATGCTTATTACTAAATATATCCTAAATACAAAATACAGAAAAATGCTTTTGGCAATGTATTCCTTCCATCTTTTATAAACTTGGATGTGATAAGGGTCAGTTTTATTATTCATTTGTTTTATCTTTAACCTTGAATTGTATTAAATAGTTGGATCTACTTCTAAAACTTTTTTCATCATGAGTTGTTTTGATAAAACTATAGTGGCACCTTTATAGTCAAGGTCATTCAACCCTTTAAGCTTGAGATATTTAAGCACCAAGATATATATTTTTGTTGCCGTTGATTTGATGGGAAGTTTTATTGTGAAAGTTGTTGCAAATTCCATATTGGGGTTTTTGGCTTTAGTAGGAATTTCCTTAGAGTGACCAACTGTTAAAAGAGAGGCTGTTGAACAGGAAATCAGGGCTCCTTTGAATTATGTTTGCCTGATAAAGTTATTTGGAAATATTCTAAGAAGAAATAGGCTGTGTTAGCTTTCACCAGCATCTAAGAAAGTCTGATCCTTTAAAAGGGAGGAAATATGGCACCAAAATGGAAAACAATATAGTCAGAAACCTTAGGAGGCTAAATTTAGGGAAGAGAATTTGGGCTAAAGTTTTTATAGACTGTAAAATCATGGTCTAGAAAGGATTTAATTCTCAACAGGAAATAATATGATTTTGAAAGGAATCTCTCCTAGCTGTCCAGGGAAGGTATGCAAGGTTACTAACTCTTCAAAAAGCAACCTTTCTGTATGTAAGTAAAACAGATCTTTATGCTACAAGTGGAAGTACTAACATGAAGTCGAAATCTAGGTGGTGTGTTTAAAGCCAGTGCCAATGCTGATGCATTTTAAGAGTGTGGGTACTTTCCTTTTTTCCTTTTTCTGTAGAACTTTATCGTTTCACAAATGCTAGTTTCTGTGCTCATGATATATGACATATTTCTAGATCTAGACACCGAAGGCTGGTCACTGTCAATGAAACAAGGTACAGCCAGACTAAAGAGAACATTTCCTTGTATTGCTGAGGTGGCTCAAATCAAGGTTTTAATCAAGATTAGTTCCCTGTGCTGACACTGCCAGTGCTGCTCTGGGAGTTGTGCAAGAGTTGGTGAGTTTTTGAGAAATAAATGTGTGGGTGCTGTCGACGTGTGTTTGAGATCCCAGCGCCGTTGTCACATCATAGTTTTGATCACTTCCAGCTTGAGCAGCCCTGAGTTTAATCCCTGAAAAGTGTGAAGGTTCTTAATATCTGTTCCATTTGCATTTCTGACTGCAAGCCAGTAAAATGATGTTAATTTAGGAGCATATTCTGCTGTGTGTCAGTACTGTACTGTGACCCTTTTTATGTTCAGTAACAGTGTGCTATTTATTCCAGGATGATGTGATGATGCCACAGCGGGTTAGGCTGCAGCACCAAGTTGCCATTCAACACCCAAACAGTGTGAGTACTTTTTTCTTGTGTGTATTTGTGGGTTTTTCTTTTACAGAGTTCCGGATACATCTTTAAAAGGATATGAAAATTTCACAGTCGGGTTGGTAGAGGCAAAGCAATAACTAGTTTATTCTTTTCCTTTATTTTTAATCCTTGCACTGAATAGGAGCTTTGATTGAACTTCTCTTCTTCTTTTTATTTTCTCTGTTCAGAAAACCAGATCTCATTATAACAGTGATACTCTTTTGCAAAGGAATATACAGGTTTGGCTAATGTCTGTGATCTAAAGGAGAATGCTCTTTTTATGTAGCTTAAGTCATGTGAAAAGCTGCAAAAGACTGGCTACAGCTATGGTTTATCTGGTTTTAATATTTGAGAGACTATAAACCATGGGGAATGTATGGGTTTGTTATTACTGAAAAATTGGCCTACAGTTCAGATGGTGTTTCTCCCTATGTCTGCCTGCAAAAGAAAACAGTATTAGAAGGCCATTCTTTATTCCTGTGAAATAAACTCTTGGAAACACTGTGAAATAGTTCTTCTCTGATCTATATGCTTTTGATTTTAAATGATTTTCTGTGATTAGAGTCAGTGTTCGTTAGAGAGACTTTGTGTATATGCTCTACTTACCTAAATATATATGTAAATAATTTGTTAAGGCTCTAACTTTATTTCTCCATGTTATTGATATAGATATTCCTTTATAAACTTGAAAACCGAGTTTGTGTTCCTATCAGCCATTTTCAGCAAAATCAGCCTTATTGTTTGCACATCTCTGACATTTCCTCCTGTGAAAGTTATTTCAATGTGCAAGAGGTGTCTGGAAAGGGAAGGTCAATTGACTTGATCTGTCAAGTAGGTATTTCCTGCAGGTCTCTGAACAAAACAGACAGTTTTAGGATTATCACTGTCTGGGAATTAAACACCTTTTGAACTTTTCCTCCAAAACACTCTTGCTTCAAAGTAGAGATGATTGTAGTCATTTCAGCTGAGGAATGTCTGCCAAACAACCTGCTGCTCGGTGGTGGGCTGTGAACCTGCTCATCCCACCACCTGCAGCAGGCTCTTCGAAATCTGATAATCCTTACGATGTAATTTATTAAATTACAGTTTTGGTACTGCCTGAGTAGCAGTTAACCTAACTCACATTATGAACATAATAAAATGATAAATCGAAAGTTGTTTTTGTTCTGATAGCGATCAGTTAATGTAATCCCGCAGCCAAATGCCAAAAAAACCGGAGAGGCAAGTTGATCCAGTAAGCTTGTTTTATGGAAATTAGTTTCAAGAGCTATCCTATTTCTTGCTTATGTGGCATCTATAGCTGTATATGAAGACTTTCTTAAATTAGACTAAATTCAACTGAGCAGTTTGTAGTCTGCTTAGAACACCCTTCAACTGTTTTGTTTATAATCTGCCCAACAACATTCAGTGTGAACTATTAAATGACAAACAAGTAATAAGGAGGGCCTGAGTAGACTGAAGGGTCTGTTCTAAACAGGACTAACTTGTTATTCCTGTTTTCTAAACTCACCTAAACTTGTGGTCCTGTTGCAGTACTTGTGGTGGGCTGGCCCTGGCTGGACTGTGTCACTCCTCTCAGCAGGACGGGGTGGTGGGAGAAGACAAGATGGAAAAGACTGCAGGGTCAAGATAAAGGCAATTTAATAAAAGCAAAAGCAGAGGAATATCCCTTTGGTCAGTTTGGGTTGGCTGTCCTGACTGTGTCCCCTCCCCACCCCCAGCCTGCTGGAGAGGGGGGAATGCTGGAGGGGCATCCCTGCTGTGGGAGCACTGCCCAGCAGGAGCCAGAGCAGCAGAGTGTTACCAACACCTCTCCACTTACCAATACACAGCACTGGGAGGGCTGTCGTGGGCAAAATTAACTCCATCTCTGCCAGACCCAGGACATTTTCCTTGTTGCAGGTGTAGAAATGTTTGTAATGCCTATGGGAGGTATAACCTGGGTTATTGTTGTATTTTGCAGAACTCTGATTCAGAGGCCTGAAGGAGAAAAGGAAACACATCCAGCTCTTTCTAATGAGCAAATGGATTAGTTTGGTCCAGAGCCCCTCTAAAGTTCTGACAGAACTTTGAGAAAAGTTGATCTTCTTGTCACAAGTCTATTGACCCATGTCAGGGTGGAATGGTGTTCTTAAAAGAATGATCTCTCTGCTGCCCTCAGAATAATTGTGCCATTCAGTTTTCTGGCCTTGGAAGATGGCTGGGTGTGTTTGAATGTTTTGTTCTGTATTTGAAGTTGTGGCCATAGCTTCAGTCAGTCTGATAAGGCAGAGTAGGTGGAGGGGCAAAAAAAAAAAGCAAAAATAAAAGTTTTAAAAAAAAAAAAAAAAAAAAAAAAAAGCAGAAGCTTGAGAAATGTCCGTGAAGCAGCAGTGAGCTTTTTTGGTTTGTTCCTGAAATTCTAATTTGCAGACTTGGACTTTCCACTGTTTTGCAACTTTTTCTGACCTGGATTTTTGACTTTATGTAATCTCAGTGTATGTTCAGAAATTTTATTCCTAATCCTGAGGCTGCTGATTGTTACTGGGAGTCAGATTTGAAGACTGGGCTATAATATTAGAGGCTTCAGTCTACTGTTGTTACTGCTATAGATTTACAGGTAGGAAAAGTCTCCAGCTTCCTCCACCAAGAGAAATCTCCCAGATCCAAACTAATCCCCGAGGTTCTTCTTCTTTTGTGCAACTCTTAAATGCAAATTGCCTTACCCTGACTTGAAGCCTGGTTATTAAACAGCAGAACCAAAGGTATCAGATGCCTCTGGGATACTCCCCAAGGAGTTGTTCTTCAAGGAAACACGTGTCTCTATCTCTGAAAAAGCAAGAAGCTTGTCCCCTGGTTCAGGTGCTGGAACATGACAGGGGGAACCCTGCAGCAGCCTGAACCTTTGTGTCTCATTTCCTCTATCATAGACTACATAACTGTGCTTTAAAGAGCAAGGTAATTTCTATTCTCTTAAGCTGCTCTTATCTGGAAGACTTTAAAAAAAAAAAAATCTCAAAGGGTGGAACTGTTTTGTCCTTGGTAAGTTTAGAGTGGAGGATTTGGGATCTCAAAAGACAAATGACTAATACATTGTGCTTTTTATTAAAAGCAGCTCTCCAGGACTGCTGTCATCCTGTCCTCTGGTGATTATTTCACATCATCTCCAAGTCCTGTTGACAGGGATTCTATAAATAGAAGCTCTCAGAAGACATAAGTTTTTGAGACTCTGAGTATTTACACTACAAATTCTTAAGTTCTGCTTAAGAAATATCTAGCTCAGTGTGAATCCCTGCTTTTAGCAGTTGGAAAACTTAGGGACATCATCCTGTCTATTGATAATGTAATGACTACCAACCTTTGGTGTTTATTGTCTGCTGGGTGTGGTGTAACTTTATTCTTTCTCTCACCACCCTTTATTTGAGTATATTGTCCCCCACAATATGACTTTGCACATGAGCAGCATGTGGCTTCAAGTTTTTGTGTTTCTTTCAGCAGAATTGCTTATAAAGTAGCTGAACTTTTCCTGACTGTCTCCTACCTCAGTGAGGAAACAACAGCTGGAATCAGAATGTGTGTAGTGGAGATAAAAACATTATTTCCTTTTGTTTTCACTGGCTGAATAAGAGGTGAATCAGTACCAGTGTGACAAGGATCACCTTTCTTTTTGTTGTGAAAATACAGGCTCTGTCTCAAACCTCTAGGATACCTAGGCATGTGAAAGAAAAGTGAATATACCATTTGCATTTCTTCAATGAGAAATTCTCACTATTTTGCATCTCTAAAGCAGATTTTTGGCATATTCTGCAGCTTGGGTTTGGAGCAAGAGTTGCAGTGCCTGAGGCCATTTTTATCTGTTGCATTATCTGCCTGTGTTAACCAACTGACTGAATTCTGCATATCTTTGATGGTTAATGTGACTCTGAGATGGATGATTGGAAGGAGTGCACTCCAACAATGCCTGGCACTAGTGGCTCACAGACCTGTTCACCTGCCTCTGGGAGAGCTGGAAACAAATACTGTGCAATGGGCAAATGAGTTGGAGAAATGAGCAAATGAAGGAGAGAAATGAGCTGGTCCTTTGTAGAAGGCACATCTGGGCCAAAGGTGTTGACTGTTTCTCTCCCACCCCTGCTGAACCTCACAAATTAACTACATTTAGAAATTAAGGTGGTTTTTTTTTTCTCTTGGTCTGGAAGCACACTTTTAAAATTTATTTTGAAAGTCATAATCTAATAAAGTTTTTGAAGTGTCACTGTACCCTGTGCTGTTCTGCTTGTCTGGACCTCTCACACATTTCTGTTATATGTTAGAAAGAAGAAAGACTGTTTTTTCCCCTCTCCCTGACTTGCCTTCCCTATTGCTTATTGGGCACTAGTTTGAATCATTTTACTTTCTTGTGACTAAAGTGATCAGATCCAGTTGATTCTTGATTATGTCAGTCCTTTTACCTTCCACCTTATGAATTTAAATCAATACCTGAAATTGCAAGTAAAGGTTTGCTTCTAGTAGCAACAGAAAAAGTATACAATAAAGTGAGTGGATTCCTTCTTACACGTTTCATTAAAATACAGTTTTAGTGGTACATGAAGTAGATGTTGAGGTGGAACAGAATTTTAAGATCAGCATTCTCGGTGTTTATATGGCTACTGTGATAATGAGATCTGATTTAAAGATTGACAATTTCAACTGGTTTTGCATTGACAATACACAGGTTTTTTTATAGGAGTTAATCTGTGAGAGCAGTCCTGGGGGAATGGCTTAACAAATATCGAGCTTTGTTTTGTTCTGAGTGCAAAAAGATTCACTGACATTCTTACATCATCTCTCAGTTCCATATTGTGGATGTAGCTCTTATCCCTGGAGGTGGGGAGGGAGGGAATTGTAGGTAGTCTGGACCAGTTCCCATACATTGTCTTGCACTGTCAGAGCAGTTCTTACAGTCAGAGTGTGCGCTGGATTATTTTGTACACAAAAGAGCACTGGATGTAAATAATGTATTCCAA